TTGACCCACTGGGGCCGCCGGCTCATCCTCTCCTGTTCCAGGCTTCAGCCCTCTGCTCCTGCCTCCCGACCTGCCCTCCCACAGAGTGTCCCCACTGTCTTTCTTCCTGCTCTGCCCAGATGCCACAGTGCCTTCAGGGGACCTGAGAAACTCCAGCCTTGAAGGCAGCGCTGGGGAAGAGGTGACCCTGAGTCAGAACCAGGTGAGTTTCATCCCTGCCCCTCTCCTGAGTGATCATGGCCTTAGGATCCGACCCAAGCCGTGATTCATTGCTGGGACACCTGCCGATGTCACAGCAGCCCCACAGGGCTCTTAAATGGATGGAGTGTGGTAGTTCCTGAGAAGGGTTGGTGGGTACACAGAGGGTGCCCAATGGTTGTTGGTCGACATGGATCTGGCCCCGCACTTCACCTCCAGAAGGGCAGGCATGAACCCCGGGGAAATCTTACCACCAGCTTCGCTCTGGGAAAGGGAAATAGAAACTATCCTAATTCCAAAGAGTAAATGTCAGAGGCTTGGGAAGGACCGAGAGAGGGGGACGGGAGGGAGAGAGAGGAGGGGGGAGGAGGGGGGCGGGTGAAAGGTGGAGAGAGGACGCCGAGGACCAGGGCAGGAGAAGGGGAGAGGAGAGACAGACAGACAGACAGACACTAACTTGAGCTCCTTCTCCTGGAAGAGAACTGGTCACCCCCAGCCCCTGCACGTATTACCTGGGGCTGGACCAGATCAGGCTGCAAAGATGCAAAGAGCTGCCCACGGGCTTTGCCTCCCCTCTCAAGATGTCTTTTGAAAAACAAAATTGAACAAATTGGCAATGTTTAAAAATTGGGATTTTACACCTAAAAAATCTGTTTGTTTGTTTGTTTTCCTCTTGAAAAACTGGAGTTCTGGTCCTGACTGGGAGCTGGGGCTGGGCAGTTTCTGCTCCCACGGGAAGGTCTTGAGGTTTCTGCGTGGACACGGCCCTCCCCCATCTGATCTCCCTCGTCTCTGAGCACAGCCTCTAGTCGGCTTTTATGAGCCCTCTCTGTCACCTCCAGGTGACCCCCGGGCCCCAGGAGGATTGGGGTGGAGACCCTGGACTGAAGGGTGTTCAACCTTTATATTCCGGGACCGTCTCAGTTCAAATGCCACCTACTCAGGGGGCCTTCCCTGACCACCTGAGACAAAATAGCCCCCTCCCCTCCCTCTTCATACCTTTGCTCACCAGGAAGCAGCAGCAAAGAGGCTGGGCTGGGGTCCCCTTAACGTTTGGGGAAACTGACATTCAGAGCAGTAAAGCAACCAGCCCAAGGGCACACAGCCTGTGGGTGACTGAGCCAGGGCTGTTTCACTTGAGCCCTGTTGGCCTCACGCTGCTGGGCACAGCTTTACCAATGTCCTCATGACAGAGCAGGCAGGGAGGGACTCTGGAGCCACCAAGCAGAGGGGACTTCCATTAGGCTTGTCCCCAGGGGTTCTGCCTGGCACATGGTAGGCACTCAGCCATATTCATGGGGAAAAGAAATGACTGGATTTGAGATGCGTACATATCTGTTATATAAAAACCTATATGTGTGCGTGTGTGTGTGTGTGTGTGTAGGTAAGTAAAATATCTAGAAGGAACTATTTTCGGGGATGGGATTAGAGGGAATTTCATTTTTGTTTTTGGCAATTTTAAATGTACTTTCAAAAGAAAAAAAAAGAGAAAAGAGAAAATCCCAGCGCTCTCTTCTATATAACGCTCCCGTCCTCTGGTTCCAAGGAATTTATTGAAAATAAAGATTCAACCATGTCTCTGCTTAAAACCCCAAATCCTGCATGTGACCTCTGGGCCCTCCCTGCCTCCCTCTCCTGAGGCTGGAGTGAGGCAGCAGGAGGCTGGTTGGGAAGGGGACCTCCCGGGTCCTGACCCTGCCACCTCCTCTCTGAAGCCTTCCTGAGTCTCTCTGGGGACCTTCATGAGGTCGCTTGTCCCTTGCATCTTGTCCATCTCATGTTAATTGGCGATTCCTAGTTTACATTAAGACTCCCTCCCCACCCACGAGGCAGGCTCTTCTCAGGGTGGGGTCCTGCCTGATCATTCCTGGGTGCCCAGTCTCTGATGATGGCCTGGCCCATGTTTCCCCTTCTGTGGGCTGGGTGGGCCTCGAGGGCCAACCTCCAAGTCCCCCGCGTTCTAGGACGGATTCTGCAGAGCCTCAGTTTCTCCTCTGTCACATGAGGTGGCCGCCACCCCTGCCTCTCCTGGTGCCGTGAGGACACTGCCCGGGGTGTGTACTGAGCGTGGGCAGCACTGCTCTCAGGTGGGGCGTCTGTCCAAAGCCACTGGTCTCTCTCCACACCCCAACCCTGTGGCATCTGCCGCCACTTCTGGAAGCTGCTCTAGCTGTGCTGGTCTAAGCTGCTCAGCAGAAATTTTCCCTTTTGATCTGACAACCCACAGAGGGGCTGAGATGAAGGCCCAGTGTCCCTTTGAAATGCAAAACCCTCCTGTCCCCCAGCTGTTCCCAGGGCCACCGTGGCTCCCAGCGCTGCTGAGGCAAAGCCCTAGCCTAAGCACACTCTCAGGGACTGTGGGGCCTGGTCTGTCCCCCCCACTCCCATTCCATTGTGGAGGCTGAGGCCAGGAGAGTCCCCAAGGCCACTCCTGCAGTGGGCAGAGCCAGGTTCCTAGCCAGGCCTGTTGGGGATCTGTCCCCTGGGCGTGGCCAGCCTGCAGGTCGTCTCAGGAGCCATCCAGGGGAGCGTCTAAGAGCTGCAAGGACACGTCTCTGCTGACCTTGCTGTGTCTGTGCTAGATGGTCACTTGCTGCTCACTGCAGGTGGGATACTGCTGACCCTCATGTCACAGAGACCTCCTGTGGGACACTGGGGCTCCCAGACGGCTCTGGACCAAGGTGGGTGGAACATCACCAGGAAGGGTGTGGAGGGAAGGCAGTGGGGAGCACAGCATCTGGGTGCAGAGGAGGGGAGGGGACAGAGAGCGAGAGCTCTGCTCAACAGGGACAAAATGTAAACCCCCAAGGCACACCTTCAAGGCCCCCCTCCCCAGCACAACTCACCTGCTTTACCACCCAGTCAATCCCTATGGGGGACGAATGCACTGATCAGGTGAGGGCTCTCGGAACCCCCATCTCACCTCTGAACCTTCTGCCTTGACTCACACAGGAGCTTTCCGGGGTGCTTCATACCTAAACCAAGCAGTGACCCGGGAGGCTGCTCTGGCCGGGCTGTGTTTGCAGCTGACACGGCCTTTGAAGGGGACCAGAGACTCATCACCACCTGATTTGGGTCCCAGCCTGAGGCCATGTGGCCCCTCAGAGGCTCCTCATTAAACATATAGTATGTTGGTTCTGGAGGGCCCAGGACTGCGCAGCTGTGGGTCCCTTCTGCCCTGTACCAGGTCCTTAGAAAGTGTCTAGGTGAGGGCACACGGGCGCTGCTGAGCAGCAGGGTCTGAGCCCTTGGCTGGGCTCCCCTGCAGGTGGAGACTTGTGGCCTTGTGGCCGGGGCACCCTCAGAGTCCAGTTCACCTGGCAGAGTCTTCTGAAGAGTGGGTTAAGGGCGTGGTGGGCTCTGAAGAGTGAGTTCCCCAGGTTCGTGGGGAGACTGGGGGCGACTGGGTGGAGAGAGGCTCTGGGGATGGAGGTCTGGGGGATGGTGGGCACAGCCCCATGCCTGGGTGGTCTGCACCGAGAGTTGGGGCAGAGGGGAGGTGGGTTAGTTTTCCACCTTTACTTTAACAAACCTCACCCACTTTTGTTATCTCCCCAGACCTGAAGGTTGTAAGTCCGAGGAGGTCTCACGTGGAAGGGCAGGCGGGACTCCTTCTGGAAGCTCTACGTAAGGCAGAACCTGTTTCTGCCCAGGATCGAAGCCTTCGTCACATCGGCGAAGTCCCTTTGGCTTTGTAGGATGACACATTCAGAGGTCTGGAGATTAGCCCAGGGACACCTTTGGCATTATCCCCTCAGCAGGGAGGAAGCCAGCACCATTTATTGAGCATCTACTTGGTGCCAAAGACCAAGGGGAATGCTCAGCTTATCTCCCTTTGTCCTCACAGCCACCCTGCAAGAGAGGCTGTGTGTCCCATTTTACAGATGAGGAGGATGAGGCTCAAAGGGGCCCATGGAGGATCAACAGTGAATAAAAAGTAGAGGCATGATTGGAACCCAGGTCTGCAGGCTTGCAGTCTGTGCCCCTCCCATGGAGCAGCAGCACAGAGCAGCTGCCAAATGCCTGGTGACTTGAGGACACGCCTGCTCCCCGCAGGAGAAGCCCAAGGCTGGTGGTCCTTCGTCAGGATACAAGAACTACCTGGGTGCAAAGTGGAGCTGTCAGGAAACCGCTGGCGGCCCGATACTGTCACTCCTAGCGGACGATGCTGTCAGGCAGAGTGCTCTGTTCTGCAGTAGAGCGAGCTACAGAGTTCCCATTAAGTCTTTGGGTCTCATGACAACAGGTATTGGTGGAGTGGGCGCCGAGCTGGGCGCTGCGGATAACCGTTCCTGCTCTACAAGGCTCGTGGCTGGGTTTTAAGAATGCGTGGAAGGTATTCTCTCTGCCTAGACAAGAGAATCCCAATAAATTATGTTTTCTCTCCTGTTCATTCGAGAATATTTTCTTTTCTATCTCAGAACCTGTCACATTCTGCATGAGAAGTGGCTAGTTTTCTCCCCTTGGAGTAAAAATAGTTGGAGACTTTTCTGGGAAAGGTGCTGGTTTGAAACACTAATAAGGCGACGTACACTCCATCCTCCGGGTTCACGGCCGCGCAGCTGAATAGCAAGGCTTCAGAAGCTCATTTGCCAGGGGATCCTGCTCTTCAGCCTGTGGTTTCCCACTCTGTTTAGTGCACACGTTCACGTGCGTGCTCGCGCATACACACACACACACACACACACACACACACACACACAACAGGCCTGTGGCTGCCTGGCAGGCTAGAGCCTTCTTATTTACACTGCTGCATTTTATATGCTGATAACATGATTTTAATACATTTATAAACATTTGGGGATCTTCTCAGTTATTTATTTTGCAGTTATTTTTAGGAGAAAATAAATGGTCTTTGAACTCTAATAAAATCGCTGTTCCGCAGCCCTGAACACGCTCAGTGAATGTGAGCAGGAGCTGGAGGAGGAGACGCCTGCACTGAGCCAGTGCCCCCATTCTAGGCCTTGCTGGGCAGACTGTGCTGTGTAGCTTTGCAAAAGTTGCTTCCCTTCTCTGAGCCTTAGTAGTCCCTTCCTGATGTTCACGGTCTGACTGTGCCAGGAGTGTGAGGTGCCATGCAAACAGGAGCCGCAGGATTTCAGTTGTTAAGCAAACAGGTACCTACTATGTGCCACACACAAGGCTGTCTCCCAGGGAAGCAGACCCAAATCTGACCTCAAAGGATACGCCGTCTGGAGTCCAAATGCGTAAAGAAGCTGCTCTGCTGTGAGACTCCAGGGGCAGGGGTTTTGTTCACGATTCACTGCTGTTCCCTCCCCTGGCTGCCCCTGCCCACCTTGGCAGCGGAGCATGACCCAAAGCCCTCCCTAGCAATGGGGCCAGGGGTCCGCCAAGCTGAGCACACTCTTTCTTTCAGGCCACGGATGCCCCTGCACAGCTAGAGGCCAACCATGTGGAGCAGAGCTTCATGGACACCTTTAACCCTATACCCCACACGCAGGCTCGAGCCATTGTGTATGCAGCGCGTGTCACCCTGAGAGGCAGAGGCCGGCCTGCCCCATCGATCCCCACGGCTGCAACCGAGATGCCTGCCTCCCGTCAACGCTGCTGAGGAAATTGGGCAGGAGGCTGTCATTTCTCTTCTCCTCCCCCGCATGCTTTCTGGAATAACCAACCCTCTCTGTTGCTGATACAGATCGGCCTCACGTCTGCTCCTCAGGCCCCGGAGTCTGGCCAGGTCTCCTCCTAGGGTGGACCTCAGGGTTGTCACTGGCTCTGTAGCAGTCCTGTGAGGTGGGGACTTGGGGGCTGAGTCACTTACCTAAGCAGGCACAGCCAGGAAGTGGCAAAGCTTTGCTCTGAGCCCCTGGGGTGGGGGTCAGCAATCTCACAGTGAGCATTCAAGGAGCCGTCCAGGGGTGGGAGGTGGACGGGGAGGTGGGGCTCCCTGGGCGGGTTCCTGGAGAGCTGGTGACAGCAGGCCACAGGCGCTGGAAAGGAGAGAGGGCTGTATGGGGGGACAGGGGACAAGAGAGGAGGTGTGAGTGGGGCGGAAGGTGACCGCAGGAGTGGGGGGCTGCACCGGGGGCCTGGGGTCTCTGTTCTCCCTCTGCTCACCACAAAATCCAGGGGACACAGGGCTGGCCGAGAGAAAGTTTCCACCTTCTGGGGACTCAGGGGCATGAACAGCTTTTATAAGAGACAAGGGGCTTCCGAAGTTGCCCCCGGGGTCTGGCTGAAACCTGGCTCCCATCAGCCCTTCTCTCTCTTTCTAACTCCTTCTCTCTCCTTCTAGCTCATCCTCGTGGCGCCCCATGGAACCCACGTGTGTGTCTCACCTGTGGCAGCCAGAGAGACAACAGCGGATGGGCCCTGGCTGAGACCCACTGATACTTCCCTTCCCAGATCTAGAGCCTTCCCTGGCCGAGACGGTGCTGTGTCCTTCCCAGCCTCACGGGCAGCCTCCAGGCTCATGGCAACCCCGGGTCAGAGCTGATACCCGCGGGTTTCCAACTGCTGTCTGTCGTGATCTTGCCGAGAGCCGGGGCCAGTGTCACACAGCAGGCCCCTGGTCAAGGCTCTGACAGTGTCCCTATTTCCCAGGTGGGGAAACTGAGGCGCGGAGGGTTTGCCCACTGTTTCATGTGTCTTTAAGTGCAGAGCCTTTGAACCCTGGCCTGGTCCATCCTCCAGAGTCTGTGCCCTTAGCAGCTGCACATATCGCCATTGTCCCTCTCTTCTGGACGACTTTTTATTTTTCTCTGTACTTGAGAAGTCATTCTCATGTGTAAAAATAAATAAAATAAATACTTAAAGAGCTGGGCTCTTGTCTCCTCTGCCCTGGCCTCCCTGGGCTCAGGAAATGGCTTCTGTTCACCTGTGACTCTAATATTATCTTCTCTGATAAAATAGAGATAATTAAATCCCATGATGTTTATAAAGGGTTGGATGTGAGGCCAGCACATTTTCTCACATAATCTGCCTAAAAACCTGAAAGACAAGCTTAATTATCTTCATTTTACAAGTGAAGATGATTTAGCTCAGAGAGGTAGAGGAATTGACTGAGGTCCCACAGCCAAGCAGTGCTGGGGCCTAGGGAACCGACTCCAGAGCCCTTGTTCTGAGCCCTTCAGCCAGGCAGTTCTCTAGGTCTGCATTTCATGGGCGGCTGAGGGTGGAGTAGCGTGAACAAACTTGTCTTGGTTTCTGGTGGCCAGAGTCCACACTCAGAGCCCGAGTCATCTTCAGGCTGTTTTGAAGGCAGGTGGGCTGAATGCCTGTACGGGGTGGCTTCTGTGGCTGTTCTTACCTGGATGATGGCCTCTGTAGCTCTAGGGCATGACTTGACTTGCCGACTCCCTGCTCTTTGTGTTCTGTAGAGCTGTATTCACCAAGACGGTCTCTGAAGTGAGCAGGGAGACTCCCACATTGCAGCCCTGTCCTCCTCATGGCTGCACCAGGGTCTTCAGGCCCTGACGTCTCTCATCCTGACCTATTGGAGCAGCATCACCTAATTCAACAGTCAGCCCTAAAGGGTGCCTAGTTTGAGGCCCTCCCTGGGCTGAGTGTGTATTAGGCAGGATAGGTAACGCTATGCTGCAGTAACAAGTAACCTCCAAATCACAGTGGCTTAAAAAACCCAGATATTGATTTTTGCTGATCCTACCTGTCCACTGTAGGTTGGGTGGGTTTGGCTCTATTCATCATGGCCACCCACAGAATCTGGGGGATAGAGCAGCTGTTGTGCCAGGGGAGAGGAAAACCCTGGTGGTTTTGCACCAGCCACTAAAGATGATCAAGAGGAAGTGACAGGCATCACTTCTGCCCTGATGATACACTGTGCAGAACAAGTCATGAGGTCCCACTGAGCCACGTGGGACAGGACAAGAGTCCCACAAGGAGCCTGGAAGAAGGAGATGTGAAAACATTTGGCCCAGTGCCTGCCACCCCAGGCCCGGGGAGGTAAGCGGTAATGACTCAGCCCCTGCCCCTTGTCCTCAGGGGACTTCCAGTTCCAGTAATGGCCATGCTGATGTCTTTCCCATTCCAGCCTGGTGGGCTTGGTGGGTGCAATTGTCCCAAGAGACAGAGCTAGCAGCTAAGTGATGAGCTGCTGGTGACGATGGAGCCTGGCTGTCCCTGGGCTGGGATTTGACTCCGCATCTGTCTGGGTCAGCACCCAGGTCTCTTGTCTCTGAATCATGGTGCCTTCAAAACCATCAGAAAATGGGGGTTTGGGGAGACAGTGAATCTGGGGTGGGAAGCTGTGGAGCAGACAGTGCCACAGACCCCTGCCATCCAGGGACGAGTGAGAGTCCCTGGAAGGACCACATCCTGATGGGTGGACAGGCTCTGAGATGCCAGAGGCGAGAAGGGCCCCGTGGAGCTGGGGAAGGTGTGGGAAGAAGAGGAGGAGGAGCGGAGGGGGGATGTTTGGGGCCAGACAGACCTGGGCTTGCAGATTCTAAAACCTGTTTAACCTCTCTTCTCCGTTTTAAAGGAAGTCACGCCATGGAGGGTTGCCACGAGGTTTAAATGAGATTAGGAAAGGCTCCATGGAGTAGCTTCTGACTTCAGGAGTACTCAGCCAGCGACATCCCTGAGAGTGGGCGTTTCCTGGGGGCCAGGCCCTTTGCCAACCAGTGTGCACCAGCCAGACCAAAGCAGGCACCAGCAGCTGCAACCATCTTATGGATGAAGCAGGATGGAGTCCAGAGAAGCTGGACTGAGGTATCTCACCCTGACCTATTGGAACAGCATTACCTAATTCAACTGTCAGCCCTGAAGGGTGCCTAGTTTGAGGCCGTCCCTGGGCTGAGTGTGTATTAGGCAGGATAGGTAATGCTATGCTGCAGTAACAAGTAACCTGAGGTCTTTCTTACCACAGGTGGCCCTTTTCTTTTCATTTTCCGTCTTGGAGGCTGTCAATCAAGCTCTGCCTTCCCCCCTCCCCCCTTCCTTCTGCCAAATCCTCAGCTACCCTCAGCTCCATTTCCCTCCAGAGGGAACCACATCATTACAAGAGGTCCCCCCCGCAAAGACAAGACCAGCAGGCCCATGAAAGCCACTTGGTCCAGCCTCACACTGGAAATCCATGCACTGAGATGGCCCATCCTGCCTCTGTGGCCCCTGGGGGCCTCTCACCAGGCTCATCCTCTCCCATCAGTGGGCAGAGAGGCTCCAGGAAGCATCCCTGATCTCTCGCCCTCCGTGTCCTTGTGCTGCTCTCTGCTGCTACCAGAGAGCTGTCAGTCGTCCAGCAGAGGAGAGGTGCTACAGGAGAGGAAGCCAGGATCTCACTGCCACACCCACCCTCTGACGCCTTGGGGGGGCCTCTGGCCTGGGTCCTGGAAAATCCATGTCTTTTGCTGCTTCACCGAGACTGGAGCCATGGAGGAGCCGTTGGTGGGTGTGGAAGACATTCCTGGTCCTGGCTCAGCTCCTGGTGGGAGGCCCGGGCCTCTCGCAGAGCTTGCAATTGTTCATTGGCAGGAGGCTGACGCAGAGCCACTGTCTCCAGGGTGACATGTCCAGTGTCTGTGGCGCAGGAAGCAGTAAGGGCAGAGGGTTCTCAGAGACTCTGGAGTCCTGGAAAATCAAAAACCAAAAATAAACAAAGTCCCCATTGCCCTGAAATGAATGGAATGAACAAAAGTGTCTTTATCTTGCAACCCTTTGCCCAGGCAGAGGGGAGGTCCAGGAAGGAGAGAGAGCAACTACTGCCTGGGGACAGATGCTCCTTGGTAGGGCAGGCCCAGCAAACTTCCAGCTGCCAGCAAACTTCCAGCTGCCAGCTGATGATTGGCTCACAGCTGTCCCAGCAAACTTCTAGCTGCCAACTGATTGGCTCCTCTGCGGTGATGCTCATTGAGCTGTTTCCCCGCACTTTCAGACCACAGAGCTGCTCATTGGGGGACTTTTTTGGCTCCGCCCACACGACCCAGCCAATCAGCCTCAAGAGCAGGAGGAGTGGGGGAGGTTGAGAGGCTTGTGGGAAGCAGGTGGTGGCAGTTGGGCTCTGAGGGAATTCCTGAAGAGCTGTGTGGTGCCGTGTGTGTGTGTGTGTGTGTGTGTGTGTGTGTCTGTTCTAAAAATAAAGTTCGTTTCTTTTGACAAGTGCCTCCTGAATTGTGCCCAGGTAGACTGTGGCAGGACAGATGCTCCTTGGTAGGGCAGGATGATCAAATCTGATTTGGGGGAAGATCCTGAGGCTCCAACTATTTCATCCTAGAAGTGAGGCCTCTGAGACCCAGGAAGACAAGGGCAATCTGTCACATGGCCACCCCAGAAATTGGTGGCAGAGAGAGAGAAATGCTGAGGTCCCCAATTAAACATTCAGTTCCTTAGGGAAGATGTCTCTGTGTCCAGAACATTGGGGGAAGAATATGCTTCTCTCAGCCAGCACTGAGAGTGCCCAACTGTCTTGGCCAGAGGTCAGGAAGCTATAGCCCAAGACCACATCTGGCCCACAGTCTGATTTTTAAATAAAGTTTTATTGGAACACAACCACATTCATTTATGCACCTATGTCTAAGGCTGCTTTTATATTACAACAGTAGAGCTGAGCAGTTTCAACACAGCCAGCCTGATCCACAAGGCCTAAAACATTTACAGTCCGTAGTAAATATTGTAATTAAGTCTTAACAATTAAATATTAAAATATTTAGATCTGGCCCTTTATAGAAAATGTCTACTGTCCCCTTCAGACACATGCCTGAAGGGAATCTTAGACATAACTTACACAATGGTTTTATGAGCATTTGAATATCATCATTAAAGTCAGGTACCTGTTTCCAAATGGAATCTTCATGAATTTCGCCAGATTTAAAGCTGATAGCAGCAAAGCCCCTCAGGTTCAGTGGGGGGGAGCTGATCCTCTCTCATCCTGACCACCTCTCCTTCTGCTCTGGCCCCCAAGTAAAGTTGCCATATAAAATATAGGACCTGTGGTCACGTCTGAATTCCAAATAGCAAACAATTTTTTAGTATAAGTACATCCCAAATATTGCATAGGATATACCCCTATTAAAAAGCATTCCTTGTTTGAATGCAATCACAACCGAGTCTATCTTCTGTGTATTGGCTACATCTGGCAACTCAACTCTTAGGTCAACCGGGAGGAAGTATCTCAGTGGAAATCCAGCCTCCAGAATAGACTTCAGAGTCAGCCTGGTATTTTGAGACTGGCCTTGGCCAGACCCTGCAGCCTCATGGCCAGCCTCCTCTTCCCATGTCCCCTGCCCCATCCTTCCCTCTCCAGTGCCCACTGCTGCTCTTCCTGCCCAGGTGGCCTGCACACACCCTGACCCCGCTCTGCTTACCCTCCCGGCCCCATACGGCAGAATCAACCTCCTCTGGTGTCAGGCTGCCAGGTGAGCAGGTGCAGGTGTGTGAGCAGGTGCAGGTGCCTGAGCACCGGACCCAGGAGAGAGCAGAGCTGGGCCTCCTGGCCTGGGCTCCCCGTGCAGCGCAGCTTCACAGAGGTGTTGTGTTGCAAAATCATGGGCACTTTGAAGTCACTAGCAGGTTTGTCTCTTTTTCTTCTCTCTGTTTTTTGAACACACAGGTTTCGAGTCACAGGAATGATCCTGGGTCTACAAGCCCGTTAAGGACATCTTTATCAACTCACCCCCACCGATCCTCTTGTGGCCTTGGCATGTTGTAGGTCCTCTGTAAAACAGAAGACAGGAGGGGGAGCAGGGTTCAGGGGAGGCCCAGCTGAGCACAGGCTCTGAGAAGCCCACGGCAACTACAGGGAGTCCAGCCTGCAGCCAGGGAGAGTTTCTACAGAATCCCAAAAGCCTGAGCAATGAAGATCCCAGAAGGTCAGGGTCCCACTAACAACCTGACTGTCCCTTCTAGGAGGGCTGCACTTTTGAAGAGCTGAGGGTCATGGCTCCTCCACACCAGAAGTGAACATACCTCCCTTCCCTTGCTGACCATCCCGAGTCTGGGGTTTTCCAAGTGGTGCCAAAGAGCCTGTGGCCTGGGGGTTTCCAAGTGGAGAGCCTGTGGCCTGGGGGTTTCCAAGGTGTCACCACCAAGCAGCTGTCAGCATTTTGGGCCAAGACTCTGGGGTTCTACCATCTCTCAGGGGCTCTTCCTTTTCCTTTCCAGAAGGCCAGAGCCTTTCCTGGTGACCTGCTTCTGGCCAGGCTAATGTGAGGACCTGGCTTTGGGGAGGAGGAGCTTGGCAGGTCCCTGGCACAGCGCTGATGCCCCAGGGTTGCCTTGGGGAGGGTCCCTGGGCAGGAGCCAGAGGACGAAGGGGGAGGAGAGGGTGGGCTCCCAGTGGCTCTGCCGACTCCCACTCACTCCAGGCTACCTTTAACTGAGGCAAAATTCTTCACTAATCTCTTTTATTTACATTCAGTGCTTCTAGAAAAGACCCTATGACATTTTAGTGTGGGGCAAAGAAAAGCGAGAGACACACACCTTTCAACAGAAGCAGCAGGTTGCAGGGTCCTGGGTGCACCGGCGCTCAGTGTTGCTGGATGGCTTTATAAACAAAGCCGGGTGAGGTGGGAAGCCAGCCCTATAGAAATGGCCTCCCATAGAAATGCTCCAGGGCGCCCCGTACAGCTGGGTGGTCTATAGAATGAAAGCCCCACTCACTCTACACAAGAATCCTCCCTGGACCATGACTACTTCCTTAGGAGGAATTTCCAGCTGTGAGCTACTCCCTCCAAATGCTTTTGATACCCATCGCCAGATTGCCTCTGCTCCACCACCTGCTCACCCCATAACCGCAGGCAGACTGCTTCATGCATTTGTGCCTCAGTTTCCTCATCTGACACAAGGAGATAATAATAGTCCCCACCCCCTAGGGTTGTTGTGCAGAATTAAAATGTTCCCCACACTGTTCAACTCGTAGGAAGCACGCAGGATATGTTAGACTCTACTGCTGTTATTTTATTATTATTCTTGCAGTGCCTCCAGAAGGTGGTGCCAATCTTTGTGACAGACAGCAGATTCTGCCTGCACCCGCTGAGTGCCTCGGTCAGGATTGATCAGATCGAGCCAGCTGGCGTCTCGTCCTGCATCTCCTGACACTGGTGATCTTGCTGAGTCCTTGTCAGTTTCTTCGTCTGTTAAATGAGCTCATGTACTTCAAGAAATGTCCAGAAAACAAGGTGCGCCTTGGCACAGATCAATAGGCCTTTTGCAATCTTTCAAAGGACTCAGGAAAACCTGTTGGACGAAGGAAAGATAAGCCTTGAGACTTGTTCAGGAGATATTCCGAGAGGCTTTGGGACTGCCATACATCTTACGTCCAGGCGTGGCTAGAGTTTAGGGAAATGAGTTCATCCAATCATTTATTCATCTGCTCTTTAGACTCGGTTATGGCATCCTGGGCGATTGCGGCTTTGGAGGTCCACGGGACGTAACTGTGGAAAAAGATAATAAGGCAAGGACTTTGCCCTTTGGGCTCACCTTCTGGAGGGAGAAGCAGGTAATAAACAAGCGTATCAATAACTGATTGAGTTCAGACTGTGACGAGGACTATAGAGGTGGTAGCCACAGCTGATGTTCTGAAGCAAAGGCCTGATGCTGCGGGCTGGAGGGGGAAACGTGGGCAGGATGATCAGGGAGTGCTTCTCAGAGGAGGCTTGTGGCAAGGACTGCAGAAAGGCCAGTGTGACCAGAACAGGGACAGAGAGGGGAGAGCAGCTGGAGAAGAGGCCAGAGAAGTAAAATGGTATGGACCAAAGGTGCTTAGCCCAGTTCCTAGCACACAGTAGTCCTTTATGACCATTACCTGGTATTGCACTTCTAAGCGCGCACCTGGGTACAGGTAACTCGGGGGGAATGAGAGAGAGAACCAGCCTGGAGATCTTGAGAGTCTTTCCAGATCCATGAATTTGTGACTAGGGACTTGAAAACAATTCTTTCATTTGAGCACATAAATCCTCTCACTTCTAGTCTTGTTCATATTATTAATTAGCTTAGCAAACCTCTTCCCCCTAGCTAACGCAAAGGTGCCCAGAATTATGATGGGTATTTGTTAGTGAGATCTCATTGTACTTCCAAAGACAGGTCTACATTTCCCTGTGAAAGGCAAAGATTAATTCAAAATTCAGAACTCCTTTTTTGAGTTTTGGAAGAATCTGACAGTATTCTAATATTAGCAAATTCGTAGATTCAGCAGAATTTCACTTTTACCTGCTGGGAAACTTCTCTCATCCCAGGCTCCTATGCTGCCTAGAAAGCCAATGTCCCAGGGCTTTCCTGGCTGTCCCGGGTCTGGAGATCGCCGTGTGTCTCCCAAGGTCAGACCTTTCAGGAGTAACAGGACAGGAGCCAGCGTGAAAAGTGGAAGAGCTCATTCTACAGATAAGACCAGAGAGAGAAGGGAATGAAATTCTCCAGGATGCTCCTTAGGATATAAGTGGGACGTGGGCATCTCCCCCAAGACCCTTTAAACCACAGCCCAAGGAAGGCAGCTCCTCTTCCCAAGTGTGGATGAAATCAATGTGGCCAATAACAGCAATTAAATAATTGATTAATTACAAAGATATTCACTGATGCCTGGCATGTGTCAAGTAATGTACAAGGCATTAGGAAAATAGGAGAATAAGGTTAAATATCTTTTCTTGGGGGGGGGGGTTGGGTGGGGAGGCCGAACTGCATACAGTGGTAAACCGAGTGCTCTATCCTGCCGGAGCAGGATTGAAGGCCTGCTAAGGAGGCCACACCTGTGCCTCTCGGAAGGGCTGGGTTTGCCCTGACAGAGGTGGAAGGGAAGCGACCTAGGGCAGAGGGAACACGTGAGTAAGACCTGGGGGTATGGTGAGAGAGGGTGCAGCGCCAGGATCCTGCAGATCTTCAGAAGGCTGGACACTGGGGCTGAGAGGTGTACAAAGGGAGGGGAGGACAAGCAGGCCACCAGGTCATGAAGGCATCTGAGCATGCGCCAAGTACCCGCATTGCACCTTTCTCCGGCCAGCTAAGAGCCTTTCCTTTCTTGCTTCTTTGCCCCACCCTCTTTCTCTCGGTGGCTCCTGTCCAGTTGCTAACGGAAGACCTCTGCCCCACACAGGGAGCAAGAGGCCTAGAAGCGACAATCCCAGCACCCCATCGGGGCATCTCCTCTAGTGGGGCGGGGTGGGTGCACAGCTCAAGTCAGGCCAATCGGAGCCCTTCTCTGGGTTCGTGACTGGATGCTGGCTGGGGAAAGCCCGCCCTGCTCTGGGTGGCACCGGGGCGCAGCGGGAAGCCTGGTTCTGTTCTGACCGTGGCCTCCCTCTGGCCATGGAGGTCAAGTTGGGCTTTTGACCTTCTATGATGCCCATGTAAACGTGCTTCCTACTCAGGTCTGTCCGCGGGTGGCCTGCTCTTGGTCCCCACCTGCCTGATTACCTGCCGCGGGCCTCATGCACCTGCAGCCCCGGCCTCGGCTCGCCCACCGGCCTGTCCTCGGCAGCCCACGCTTTTCTTCGCTCCTGCTGGAGCCCAGAAGCTCTGCTCCGCTGAGGAACTGGGACACCTCCCCGCCCTTCCTAGGTCTCAGGAAGCCCCGACTCCCAATTATTTGCCAGGCAGACTCACCATCAAAGGGCTGACAGTCCAGAAAACTTTTCTCCCGTCTCCTGCTGTGACAGTCCCCAGGTCTTACTGATTTACTGAGCAGGGATAGAAACGAATCTGTGGCTCCCAAAGGGGACGCTGGCTGGGTGGATCTAAAACAGGAGCGAGGAGGAAGGGTGACCCGGTTCGGGCTGGGTATCTGGGGCTGGCCTTCCGGGACTGTTCCCGAGGGTGCTGGGCAGGAGCGGGAGGCCTGGGCCCTGCTGGCCCTTCCCAGGCCCACAGGGAAGTGGGGGGGTGGGGAAGAGCGTGGGAGTCCTGGCCACGGCAGTGTCCATCTGTGTGAGGTCCCCACCCAGGAAGAAGGGGTTACTGAGGCTGCTCTCCCTGCCAGCTCAGGTCTCTGATTTCCAGGACTTCATGACACTCTAAATCTATTTGAATACAAGTTTATCAGCATTCAATTTTAACTCAGCTGAAGCCAACAGGCTTTGCAAGTCTGGCTCATAGGACTTCCAAGCTGGAGGGGGCCATAGGAAGCCACAGAAGTCCTACCTCCTTCAGAGGGTCCCTTGCCTTAGGAGAGTCTGGTTTCTTCTGCACAGCATTTGAGCTCTGTCACATGTTGACCCCCAGGACACTTCTAGCCCCACTTTGGGCACAACGTTTTCCCAACATGTTAGGCACCTGTGGGTCCCTGGGCCATTACTCCTGGGGTCTCCCCGTCTGGAGTGCACCTCCTCCCTCCCACCTGGAGCAATTCTAAGCATCAGCCTGGAGTGGCTCAGGGTCTCCTCCCTGGAGCTCCCCAGCCCCACCTGGAGTGGCCTGGTGATGCTTTATTGACCTGCCTCCCTGTCCAGCACATTGCCTCCCGGGGACAGGGTCCTCGACTGTTCATCCCCAAGCCACACACAGGCCTGCACACAGTAGGATCTTAGCGAGCCTTGGTGTAAGGCACAGCTTGCAGTTGGGCCTTTCCCCTGCATCTCAGCTTCTCTCCCTGGAAGGTTCCAGAAGGGTCTGCTGCTCCCAGCACAATGACCTCCTTCCTCCCCAGCTGCCTGGCCGGCCTTGCTGACTCTCCAGGCTGCAGGAAGCTCCCAGCCCACAGGCCTCTAAGCTGGCCGTTCCCTCGTGGTATTTTATGTCTCCTTTCTGGGCTCCTAATAATAGCCACATTTTTAGGGTTTGGAGAAGAGCGTGCAGACCAGACAAGCGGATAAATCACATTTTTAAAAAAATGGGCCAAACATGGATTTACACAATAGCCTGTGACAAACGCATCTTCAGGGGATGATCTGGCAGGAAACATCCATTTTTTCCAAAGGGCGTCTTGGCCCTGGGAGAAATAATGAGGGCTTTT